ATACAGTAGAATCAATCCACAGAAATGGAGAAGAGAATGTGTAGGAAAGTAAAAGAAGACTGAAGAACAGTTGAAAGAAAAAAAAGAAGGAACAGGTAACCTGAAACAAGCCTGAGAGCTGAAAAATCTTCACGAGAAGGACGGAGACAAGCAAGGTTGATCGATCCCGTGCTTTGATACCATGTAAAAACTCAGAATGAAAGCAGCGAGAATCACCATTAATGGTGGATTCTAGAACCTACTGAACTCAAGATTAAGAGAGAGTTAATTGAGAAAGCATATTTCTCATTTCTGAAAATATGAAAACTGAATTAGAACTAGATACAGTGAGCTATATATATACAGACTGAAAACTAGAAAATATCTAACAACTAGGACAGCTGGCTAACAGAAAGCTAACTAACTACAAAACTGTTAACTAACTAATTCTGTGAAAGTAACACTGTTTAAACTAACTAACTAATTATGTATAAACTTATTAATCTCAACAAATGATAGTATGTTAATTTTCTTTCTTGTAATCAGACAAAAAATTACTTATATATGGTTTAATTGTTTGCATTTCCTTTCTGAGAAAAGCCCCAAAAATATTCTTTAACTTTAGAAAAAGACTCAAAAAAAATAATTAAATTTTTTTGATATGTTTGAATATAATTAAATAATTAAATAAAATTCAGCCACGTAACTAAAGACGGAGGGAGTAACAATTAATCATGTTAGATGGTTGGCATGTTTTATTAGTACTTACAGATAGATCCGATCCATTATTGTCCTTCAATTAGATACAATTATTCCATTAATTATGCTTAGTACTCAATTCATATATACAGGGATCAAAATGAAAATAAACTTATAATACATGGACCAAAATTGTTATTTTCCCTAAAGTGATATATGCAATTGTGGAGAAGAAAATTGTTGCTAGATGACAAATATTTCAAGAACAAGAATTAATTAAAGATGCAATTGTGGAAACGTTAAGCTTTCTAATAAAGAAGAATAAGCAATTGTGTAAGTAATTTGACATATCTAAAAAAAATTCACCAGCTATTAATATATAAATTAAAATATATATAATGTGAAAAAAACGTTTTAATGTGAATAAAACGACTTGGTTAACTATGTTTTATTTGATCACTCGTTTGGTATAAATAGGTGAAGGAGAATAGACACTCCTCACCCCAAACAAAAGAAAAGAAAAAGAATCCATAATATGGCTGTTCACAAACAAGTTAGTCTCTTTGCTTACCTACTTGTTCTTGGTAAGATTTTCCTTCAACTTTTTACTCTTTAATTTCTTCGTTGATAAATACGCAAGTATTGTTATGTTTTTTCCTTTATATATATATATATATATATATATATATATTTAATTTGTTGTAGGAATGTTGCTATTTGTAAGCGCGATGGAACATGCTGATGCCAAGGCTTGTACTAAAGAATGTGGTAATCTTGGCTATGGGATATGCCCACGTTCAGAAGGAAGTCCGGAAAATCCCATATGCACCAACTGTTGTGCAGGTTATAAAGGTTGCAATTATTATAGTGCTAATGGGACTTTCATTTGCGAAGGAGAATCTGACCCAAAAAAACCAAAAGTGTGCCCCCTAAATTGTGATCCACATATTGCCTATTCAAAGTGTCCCCGTTCAGGAGGAAATACGCTAATTTATCCCACTGGATGTACCACATGTTGCACGGGGTACAAGGGTTGCTATTATTTTGGTAAAGATGGCAAGTTTGTTTGTGAGGGAGAGAGTATTGAACCCAAGGCATGTACCCTGGAATGTGACTCTAGAGTTGCATACATGACTTGTCCATCTTCTGGATTGGCCAAAATTTATCAAGTTTGTGTTAATTGTTGCACCGCAGGAGAGGGTTGTAAACTTTATGGACATGATGGATCTTTAATTTGTACTGGAGAGCCTCAAAGCTATATATCTACAACATAAGGCATCATCAATAATATGTGTTGTAGTTTTTAATTAATGTATGAAATAAAAACATGCACACAATGACATGCTAATCACTATAATGTGGGCATCAAAGTTGAGTGTTATGTGTAACTACTTATTATATTTGAATAAGAGAAAAATATCATCCATAATTGAGGACTTAGCTCCTCTCTAGTGGTGATCTCCTTTGGTCTTATCCTTAATGAATGACATGTGTCTTTATAAGTTTTTAACGAATCAGATGTCTAAATTTATTTACTTTTTAAATAAACCACCTTTGGGGTAATTAGGTAAACCCTTACCACCTCATATATTAAGCAAAAAGTTTTACACGAGGTGGAAGATGATTGTTTCCTCTATGTGGAATGATGACGATGAAAATCTCATCCTAATTATACGAAAAATGTCCAATATATATTATACTATTTTTTTTAAGTTGAGGACTTAGGTCCCATGTCACGAGGCTTAAATTTTACCCCGTACCATGTAAACTATCTCATCTCACACCTTCACCTCTTAAAACACCAAGAATAAATAGAGAAAAACTTGTTATGTTCAACAAGAAGGAAAGGCAATGAACTAAGAAACAATACTAAAATAACAGGAAGGAAGAGGCCGGAAAAGTCGATGAAAATCATATTTTGGAGATCATTTTTAGTTGGTACATAAAATGTTAATTGGTGCGTATATAATATAATTTAATTAGGGGTTGCAATTGGGTGGTTGGGTCAAATTTGGACGGGTCATAATGGGTTAACATAACAATCGGGTCAAGACTCAATCCAACCCAAATATGCTTGGGTCAAAATGGGTTAGGTAATGGGTTACATTACGGGTCAAGACCCAACCCAACTCAACTAATTAAGCTTAATTATTTATTTGTTCTTTTAAACTATTTTAGTACCTAATAAAATTATTATTTTTTCTTTGTTATGACTTTACACAACATATCAAATTGAAAGAAAAAAAATCAAAAAAATATTTTGACAAGATTTTCCATGAGTCAATCCGAGTTACATACCAACCCAATTTTTAATAGATTGAGGTAGTGAATGGGCGAGTTAATTTTAAACTGATTGAACGGTTTAGGTTTGATTTTGCCACCCCTAAATTTAATTTAAGAGAACAAGAAATGTGTAAAATGTATACAGATGTGGGAGTTGATTCACTTGAGCAATATTTTGGGCTGCTTTTCTTTTCTTTATTATTGGGCCTCAGACACAAAATGGTACGCTGCCTCTTTATTTATTCGATATTAATCACAGTCTTATATTGCTCGTGTTTCAAGTGTCCAATCTAAAATATGTGAAAGAATATTGAATCCCACGTTAAGTTAAGTTAGACTCAGATCCATTATTTAATATTTTATCACATGTATCCTATTTTTTTCTTTCAGAAATGTTTATTGCAATCATATTTTAAAAAAATTAATTGATTAACCATCCACGAAATTACCTGCCTATGTAGCCTTAGAAATGTTTATTGCAATGATATTAAGCTATCAATTAATTATTATCTCCGGTTGACGCAAAAAAAAAAAGTTATTGATAATTCAATGGCTATAAAGAGCATTGGGAAAATCTAAGTTTTCTATTTCCTCAATCTCAATTTAAAAATTAACCAACCTGTAGATTTCACATCCAAAAGGACAAAATGACATTTACAATAGGTGGATTTTTGTCCAAACCTCCCTGAGGATACAATGAGGATGAATAATTCATCCTTGTGAAGAATATGACCTATAAAATAGAGATTTCCCATATTTTTCACCCCAATTAGTTGGAATTTCAAGAGTCAATCGTGTTTTTTCATTAAATATTATTTTTGTCTTTTAAATTATTAATTATTGTGATTTATAATACTTTTTCATAGTTTTCAAAGATACATATTTTATTTTTAAAAATTAAAGATTCTATGTTATTTGTTGGATCCCGTATCGATGGGTTTAAGGGAATGGAATTTGGTCTTCCCTTGGACAATCCTCCCCCCCGAGCTAATTTTATTGGGTTGAGAAAGGTTCAGGTCCATATCGAATCATTGTTTACTTGATGTTGAGCTCCCATTTTATATTTGGGCTTCTTAAGTAACTGTACAGGCAACAACAAAAAATATCAACGAAATGGCCATGGTCATATGTATATGTAATGTATCGATAATGCATAAATAGTGTATAATTATGTATAAATAATGTATAACTATGCATCAGATATGTATAAACATTCATATACATTGTTTATAAAATATATATACATTAAAACAGTTCAACTACCTCAACGAATTGATTTTTTTCCAACAAAAGCACGTAAATATTATGTGTTATAGTTTATGCAAAAATTTAAGATACATATTTAACCTTCATATATATTTCGAAATTTTTCACATATATGCCAATGTAAAACCTGTCCTCTCTAATCAGAAAATTGGAATGCAATATATAATCACATGGTTAAAGTTTTGATTAGTTATAATAATTTAGTTAGTTAGACCTAAGGTCCTAAAGTACTTCTACTTTGGATATTATTAGTATCTCCAGTTGACAAAATAAAATTACTGATAATTCAAATAGCTACAAAGAGCACTGGGAAAAGCTAAGATGCTAAAAGTGTTTAGTTAAAAATAATTTAGGTGATTAGCCATCTGTTTTAGGGGGGAATAAGTGTTTTAAAATACTTGAATAAGTTATTTTTCAGAAGCTGAAAAAAATATTCTTTCACATATTTTGAACTGGACACTTGAAAAAAATTATTTATCAAGCACGAATTACTGCAGAATATTGATAGATGTATTTTTACAAAATTGATCAGTCAAATACAAATAACTGTTTAATAATGAATAGATCTAACTCTCTTTTTGTTCTATTTGATTCTACCTCGCCAAACTTATACTAGCAAGTACAAAAAAAAGTAAAGCCTACCGATTGAGGAGACTGTATATTGATGTTAATTAGGTAGAATAATGAAGAAATTTTGCCTATTTTTTGTTTTATTTAATCACTCGTTTGCTATAAAATGGTGAAGGAGGATACACACTCCTCACCCTAAAATTAAAAGAAAACAAGGTACTAATTAATCATTCATAATGGCTGTTCACAAAGAAGTTAGTTTCTTTGCTTACTTGCTTGTTCTTGGTAAGTTACTTTTCTCTTTAAATTCTTCGTTGATACATACACAAGTAGTGTTTATATATGTTTTATCCTTAATATATTTATATTTGTCGTAGGATTAATGTTTCTCCTTGTAAGTGCGACGATAGACCACGACCACGATCATGACCATGACCATGATCATGATCACGATCACGACCATGACCATCATGATGATCACGATCCCAAGCCTTGTTCTAGAGAATGCGGTGATTTTAGCTATGGAATATGTCCACGTTCAGAAGGAAGTCCAAGAAACCCCATATGTACCACATGTTGTGCAGGCTACAAGGGTTGCCACTATTACAGTGCTGACGGAAAGTTCATTTGTGAAGGAGAGTCTGACCCAAGAAAGCCAAACGAACATTGTCCTAGGGAATGTGATCATAAAATTGCTTATTCAAAATGTCCCCGTTCAGAAGGACCGACTATAGTTAAACCCACTAGATGCACCAGTTGTTGCACGGGTTACAAGGGTTGCTACTATTACAGTAAAAAGGGCAAGTTTGTGTGTGAAGGAAAGAGTGATGAACCCAAGGGTTGTAGTCAAGAATGTGACCCTAAAGTTGCTTACATGACTTGTCCACATACTGGATCGACATACCATACTGGAGTTTGTGTTAATTGTTGTACCGCAAAAGCGGGATGCAATCTCTATAGTCGTGATGGATCTTTAATTTGTATCGGGGATCCTAAAAATCATTAATATAAATATGAAATAATATGTATGAAATAAAGCCATGACGATATATTCATTATTGTCATGCTAACAATCTCTGAAATGTGGCAATGGAGCTTTTTCCACCGCAATAAATTAATAAAACACTAGTTTCTTTTACTGTACTTTAAAGGTTACTAGTTTACTTAATTACTGTACTTTAAAGGTTAAAACATTCTACTTATTGAAGTGTATGATTATCTTATTTAAATGTTTAAGTTTTAGAGATAACACATTTTTATTATTTAATAATATTAAATAAATTCTTTAAAATGCAAAAACTAAATCTTCTAATGAAATAGGAAAAACACATTTCTTAAGTGACATTTCATAATAATTATCTCCTCCTAGCTCACCCTTCAACGCGGCTCATCCTCACCCTACCCCTCTACCTCCGCCTCTTATCATATTTTCTTATACTCCCTCCATCTCATTTTATATGAGTTACTTTAACTTGACACGGAGTTAAGAAAGAAAGGAAGACTTTTGGAATTTGTGGTCTAAAATAAGTGATAAATATTTGTGTAACTATAAATCATTCCGAACCATTAAGAGTAAAATGGGCATTTTAAAATCAAATTGTTACTTAATATAGAAATGTGTCATTCTTTTTTGAACTGACTAAAAAGGAATGTAAGTCATATAAATTGGAACTGACGAAGTATTATATATAGATATCTTTGAAATTATGTTTTCTTATATTATATATAAATACTTTTAAAATAATATTTTCTACGTGAATACAAACACAAGTTTTGAAAGTTTACATAGGCCCTTAGACAAGTCTTTGTTCTTACGATCAATGATTCCTAAAGTTAAAACATTGAAGATAGTAAAGGAGTTCGTCTTCAAAACAAACATTTTTTTGGCACATATATCAAAAGTAATCCCACCTAAAAGTACAAATCAAAATGGATACTTCGATCACACAAATGGACGAACGGTGTCAAATAAACATTAACTCCATTTCAAAAATAGCAAATATAATAGACATAATAAGGCTCTATAGTTATAGTTTTGATAATTGTGCTTCATAACTATAGTTTTATTTGCTATGGAGACAGCGGTTGTATACTTCTGTTTGTATATTTTGCTTGCGAATATATAAATAGGATAAGTATATACAAATTTTGTATTTATACATTTAGAAATTTTTCAGAACTCCGTTTGTATATTTCGTTTGCCAATATACAAACAGGATAATTTATTATGAAATTTTCACAAATCGTATGCAAATAACTAGGGTAAGCATATATAAAATTTTGAATTTATACAATCAGGAACTAAATTATACAAATCCTTGATTTATCAAGCGAATTATACAAATCAGGCGATAGCAAAATTGAACGATACTATAGCCGCGAATTAGAATTTTCCTAAACAGTAATTATAGCATTTAATATGATTTAAATGTATGTTATTCTGCACAATTTTCCCAATATTGAGGACTCCCACATCGAATTGTGATAGACTCAGGTCTTTTTCTTTTAACTTTAATTTTTATTACACGTAAGTTTCTAACTTTTTATTGCTGACATTTATGTTTAGTTTTTTCGTTTTCTTTTGAATTTATTGAACGGAAAAGGTCCAAAAATACCCTCAAACTATACGAAAAGGTCTAAAATTACCCTTCATCCATCTATTAAGTTAAAAATACCCCTCCATCCATCTTTTTGGCTCACTTTTGCCCTTAAAACTAACAACCATTTTTTAAAAAAAAAAATTATTTATTTTGTGTTATTTCTTATTGTGTAAAATAAAAAATCTCACTCCACCAAAGTTGATGATATGGCAAACAAGATGAACTAAATATTACATATTAGCAACTAAAAAAAAGGGTTGAGATCTGGATAATAAGAAGAAATAAAGTGAACTAAAGATCCAACAAAATACCAACTTTCCGATAACCAAATTTTATAAAAAACTTTTACTTACTAAAGTTATAAAAATTGAATTTTTTTGTTGGTTTTTGAAAATATATATATTGCTGGAATAAATGAGGAAGATTGGACATAGACCCATTAATCTTGTTTCTCTGTTGAATCTTACCCCCAAATTCCTCTGTCTCTAGGATTAATTGAACCTAAATACCGATTTTGATTTTGGTGTGGCTACAAGTGAATTTGGTCATAAGCTTATGTGATAACAATGCCTATTTGGTAAAGGAGAATACATGGGAAGCTTTGTGGATGATGTTGTTTTATGGGCTGATGGGAATGATGGTAGTTTTTTATTTCATACTTTTAATCGTTGGTAATCAATGGAGTATTTTGGTGGTGATATATATTGCAAGTTGCACAATGTTAATTGATAAAACTTTCTCTGATTATCTCCATTTATTTCGGCAATGAAGATAATTCGGCATTTATTCCGGCAATATAGTTTTAACAACCATTTAAATATTTTAACTTTCATAACACTAGTAAATATAAATGTGACACAAATAAGTATTAGTTGCCGAAAAAAAGTTGAATCTTTCACATCAGTTTTATCTCTTCTCCATTTCAAGTTCTTAGCCTTTTTTTATTTTCTAATTTGTAAATTAAATTTAGTTCATCCGATTTGCCATGTCATTTGGTGAGGGTGAGGTTGATTTGCCATGTCATTTGGTGAGGGTGAGGTTTTCTTTATTCTACCCAATAAAAAAATAACACATAATAAACAATTTTTAAAAAATAAAATAAAGAAAGAGTTGTTAGTTTCAAGGGTAAAAGTGAGTCATAAAGGTGACTGAAGGGGTATTTTGTAACGACTGGGTTCCGTCGTTATAGAAAAGCCAACAGGAAAAAAATTTGGGTCGGAAAACTTTTTCGTAGTAACTTGAAATTTTTCAACCTAGTCCAAATTTGTGGACGAAATCGAAGTCATTAAGGTGTAGGGAAATCTGGTAACAATTGGGTGATTTATTTATGATTTTGAATACATAAGGGGATAGATAACTCGTTAAGAAATTCGTACGACTTTACGGAATTGAATTCGGGCGAGTAAAACTCCCGGAATCGATCTTAGCGTGAATGGGATTTTCAGAGCGTCGTTGGTTAGAGGTGTGTTGTGAAATGGGGGCCTTGGAATTATTAAAATAGCTCACTGGTTCAGTGCAAGCCGCTGAGGCGGGATTTCTGCCGCCAGGACGGGGCCGTTTTAGTGGGGTAGGTGCCACTGTGGCGGGCCCGACGCGACTTAAAGTCGTAAATAAACTCCAAACGTCTTTATTCTGCACTTTTTTATTTATAGAGTTAAGGAACGAACCCCAGACGACTCTTGACAGTTTTCCACCATTCTTGAGGCCAAAGGTAAGTTTTTCACTCCCCAAATCCATTTTTCTTCCATAGAACGTAGTAGAATGGGTAATTATCGATGGGGGAGGGTTTTAATTTAGAAACAATGGTGTAAAAAGCCCTAGTTTGGATACTTGGGATCATGAGTATGATCTAGGGTTCATAGAATTATGAGTAATTCGGGTAATTAGTGATTGTTTATTGATTCCCGTGTTATTATGATTGTTTGTAGACCAAGAACAAGCGAAACGAATTCGGAAAGGGAAGGATCAAGTTTCTTAGGGTTTCAAGCTTGTTTCGAGGTAGGTGATGATTGTGATTCTATAATTGTGTGATGTATGTTTGTTCTTGCTTCATTGTGATATATGTATGTATAAGAATGTTACATTATCAATCACACTTGTTGTAAATGAGATAGAGGAATGATGAATGCCATGAATCGGTTGCCACGTTCCGGCATAACTAACTT